CCAGCAATCAATGCAGTGTTTGACATGCTCCCAAGTGCCCCATTTGCCTTTTTTTTTTTTTTCACGTTACAGAAGGGGAGCTTTATGTCCAGAAAACAAGTAGCTCATCAATCTCTGATGTCAGAAGTGATTACCCAGCCCTCAACTGCTTTTCAGGAGACATGAAGACTGCTTAGGTTATTGGGGGAGAGCTTTTTAATTTTTTTTTATTTTTTTTAGGGTGGTCTAAATGCACAAAAATAGTGCCTCTGCTGGGTGTTTATAACAGCCAGCGACATTCCACGGCCAGGGACTGGTGGCTGGGGTTTTGTTTGGTTGAGGGTTTTTTTGAAAGGAAAGGCTTCATTACTCCTTGGATGGAGTTTAGTCAGAGACAATGAGAATTATATGACAGCAGTGGCTACAGGTCAACCTCTGCTTGATGTCTGACTGCCCTGACATGACACTTCAAGTGCAGCATCACCCAGTATTTAGCTCTTCAGATATTGTCCATCTGGAGCTGTAGGAGGCCCACACCTCCTGTGCAGTGTCTGGCCCATGGGCAAAGCTGGGGAGCAGCTCAGGAGCTAAGCTTGGCCCTCCCGAGAGCTCCACCTTGGGTTTTCCAGTTGTGCAAACGAGGACTGAGGTACCTAAGTCACCCCAGTGTTTTCTAACCAAAGAAAAAGCTGGTGGCACCTGTCCCCTCCGTTACGAGTGTAGTTAACAGCAATTAAACCGTGCAGGTGTCCATGGGTCTGCTCTGACCAAAACTTCCAATCTGTACACCCAAGAATACCCTAGTTAAGCAGGTGCCACTGAGGGGAGGGAGTGTTGGGAGGAACCTGGGCAGTCTGCGCTGCAGGGCTCTGCTCACTGACTAACAAAGTACTGGTAGGAGGAGGAGAAACTTTAAGACTGGGAAGGCCCCTGCCCTTGACTCTCCAGTGCCCATTTGCCAGTTACCTGAACATCAGGAGTGACAGTTTTGTGTCCGCTGAATTGGAGAACTGCACATCTCAAATGTCTGCTTTAGCATCCCTACCACTGCACAGCGGGGCACACCAAGGCTGTCCCAGTATTTACACTTTATTTTTAAAGCAGGTGAGGCCCGGGTGTAGTCAGGTGGAGAAATGCTTACTTCACCAGTCCAGCTGAGGTTGAGCATCTCGCAAAGCATTAACACTGGGTAATGGTGGTGACGGAAGACACGTAGGCACCGCGAGGCTTTGGGATGGAAGTGTCGGTACATAACTGCCTTACCTGCATGCAGGCAGGGCGAAGGACATGCTTTTTGCGGCTGTAAGTAACAAGAAGGAAAAATGACAGCTTCTGAGTTAGAGGCATATATGACAGTATGACACTTCCAGGGTAGGAATGTTTTGAAGTCTGGTGGTAGGGAATGCTGCTGTCTGCCAAGGGGTGCCTGATCTCCCTTGGGGTGCAGCGGGGCACGCTGGCTTTAGGGGAACAGCAATGAGGAAAGGTGCCAGGCTCTCACCTGGGCCACCAAGGGCAGCTGTGTGGCAGAGGGATGGGCACCCCGAGATTTTCTGGGACCACAGTTCATTTTTCCTTGCACTGGTTGAAACCACAACTGTACCAGTTGGTGTTGGTGCATGTATTCTTGGAAAAAAAAGTCCCATGTTGTTGTTTGTAATTAATTCTTTAATGAGCTGTAGCTTCATAAATTCTCCTTTTTTAACTCAGCCCTAATTGCCTTACCCGCTAAGGAAAAAAAAAAAAAAGCAAAACCGTTTAGTCCTCTAATGCAAAACCAGCCAAAGTAGAAAGTTTATTTTTATTTCTGAGGTCATTTACATCTCTGAAATTCAAATTTTAGAACTCGAGCAGCTCAGTTCTAGGTAGCTCCCCCAGCTCCAAGAGAGTTCGATGTCTTGCTCTTAATTCAGTCCTGACGTGCTGCTGCAGAAGCACCAACAGTGGGTATGCGAGAGCTTCCGAACTGCGAATTAGCCTCCCCATCACCGTTTCCTACCAGCACCCAGGCAGCAGCTTCCTGTGTTGCTGCAGCTGCCCACCCCGTGCACACACCGCACAATTCACAGTAAACAGCCTCTGGCACAAACCTGCCGCCTCCTTCCTGGAAAGGAGAGGGGGCAGGATCTTAGACGTGCCCCAAAACAAGGGCTCAGTTATTTACTGCTAAACATGAGCCATGTCTAAAGCGCATGGAGATCCTGTTTGTCGGAAACCAAACAGCTCTTGTTCTTGCTCCCTGTAAGACTTCTGCTCTTAGGAGGAGGCGAGGACAGGAGGCCTGCAGGAAGCACAGGCTCTGAAACAGCGCATGTTTACATTGCACTACCACAGTCCTAACCACTGCTGTATTTCTCTTCTAAGAACTCGCCCGCAGGCTCAAGTGAGACAAAGAAGAAACACAAGCAAGGCGATACAGACTGCTTGCTTCCTTACACGCCTGTCTCTGTCTTTCAGATCTGCTCCACACCCGGCTGAAACTTGGGCTTGTGTGATGCTCACCCAAGACACCTCTGCAGAAAACAGACACACTCACTGTCTAATTTCAAGGGGTTTCTATTTGTTTTTAACTAGAATCACAAATATTTTTAAGTATTACCAGCCTACCAAACTTCCTAGGAAGACAGCTGAGACTGTTGTGAAAAGGCCAGGCTTGCAAGCCAGTTTTAACAGCTATTAATTCAGGATTTGTACAAATTTTTATAAACTGGTTTTATCTGTTTTTATAACTGAACGTAGATGGCTTATTTACAGACTGAAACACCAATAAACTTAATTGGATTCTTTTTCTTTCCCCTGGTTCTGTCCTTTTGAGTTCAAGGGAACGCATGGGTACGGGGAGGAGGGAGAAGGGGATGTTAAGTCCTGCGCAAGGACACTGCGCTCCTGTTCATGAACTTATTGCCAGAATCTACCTGGGAACTTATTG